AAACAAAAAAATGCATTAACTGAAGGACATCTAATTCCCTAAGTCTGTTTTTAATTTTGCTATATACATGTTTACACTAACCCTTCACTGATTTTTTTCTTTGCTCTTGTGTTAGTGTACAGTGTTCCAGATTACTTTTCTGGAAACTGCTAATGTGGTTCCTGGCTTGGTTTTGTCCCATTTCTTAATTAAGTGAAACAACACACTACTTGTAATTTAGTTGCATTCATCAATGGAAGAAATGGCAGGGTTCTTACAGGAAAACCTGACCACAAACACAGGTAACGTGGTGGAATGGTGTCTTTCCTTTCTGAAATTTGTATTTCAATTCTTACCTGAACCTACGAAAAATAAGTAGGCTTGTTTTTTTCATTCACTTATTTATTTAATGAATAAACATATATTGAGTTCCCACTCTGGCATCTGTATGAATTGCTTAGAATATGCAGATTCGATATTATTTTATTCTTGAAGAGATCCTGACATGCTAATTGAGTGAGATAGACACATAAGCAGATTCCAAGTGCCATGTAAGAACTCTGGTATTGGTGTACCCAGAGAGCTCTGAGGGCACGGAGGAAGGACTCAGAACGTACACATGTGGGGTTCTGATTACGGACCTGGAGGACAGGCCTGGAAAGGATTTTGAAGATGGTAGGCGTTGACCAAGGTCTGGTTGTGTGATACCGAGAGCTCAGGACTGGAGCAGAGTGAGAGCAGGGATGGGAAACAAAGTTGGTGAGATCACAACGTTCATTTATCGGGTGGTTTTTATGAATCACATACTTTACATGTGTTGGTATTTAATTGTCTTTAAGGAATAGATTTTATTTTTAGAGCCATTTTAGGTTCACAGAATAACCCAATGGGAGGTATAGGGAGTTGCTATATACACCCTGTCCCCACACATGCACAGCCTCCCTCACTGTTAACACCCCCACTGGAGGGGGAAGGGTGCAAATGGACCCACACTGACACATCGCTATCACTGAGTCCACAGTTTCCATTAGGGGTCACTTTTGGTGTTGTACGTTCAATGGGTGTGAACAGATGTATAATGACATGCATCCATTGTAATCTCGTACGGGATAGCTTCGCTGCCCTAAAAGCCCTCTGTGCTCTGCTTTCCACTCCTGCCTCCCCTTCCCCTGGCAACCACAAATCTTTTTATTGCCTCCATAGTTTTGCCTTTCTCAGAATGTCAAATGGCTTCTTTCACTTAGTAATAACAGGCATCTAAGGTTCCCCCATGTCTTTTCATGGCTTGATAGCTCATTTCTTTTTAGCATTGTCTCATATTTCATTGTCTGGATGTGCCACAGTTAATTTATCCATTCACCCACTGGAGAACGTCTTGGTTTGCTTCCAAGTTTTAGAATTTATAAGTAAAGCTGCTGTAAACATCTGTATACATGTTTCTGTGTGGGCATGTTTTCAGGTCCTTCAGGCAAATACTAAAGAGTGCAATTCCTGGGCCCAATGGTAAGAATATGTTTAGTTTTGTAAGAAACTGCCAAACGATATTCCGTAGTGCCTGCTCCATTTTGCATTCCCATCAGCAACGAAGGCGAGTTTCTGTTGTTCCCACTTCCTCACCAGCATTTGGTGCTGTCCGTGTTCTGGATTGTGGCCACTCTAGTGGGTGCGCGGTAATATTTCCCTGTGGCTGTAATTTGCACTTCCCTCTGACATGTGGTCTAGAGCACCTTTTCAGATACATACCTGCCGTCTGTATATCTTCCTGGGATAGGTGTCTTTCCAGCCTTTCACCCATTTTTAAAAGCAGGTTGTTTTCTCCCACTGGAAGCACAAGGGGATTTTTCTCAGATAATCACTGTGAGGATTTGGTTGAGCTCCTGGAGGTAAAACGGTAACAAAAGTATGGGTACCTGTTATGACTGGGTCCCCAGGCAGTTTCCTACTCTGAGATTCTCCACACTGAACATTCAGCAGTTCATTAGTTACAGGTGTTCCTTCCTGGGCCCCGGTTCCCTCAAGGTTTTCTGCTTCCGGGTTGTGAAATGTCCGTATATGTCTGTCTTGTCTCTCCAAATTTGGGGGCCGTGCTTTATGACTCCACTTGTCTGATGAATCTAAGAAGGATTTGTTGATTTTTTTCAGTACATTCTGCTTTTGAATTATTCTTTGGACACGGTGGCAACTTCCAAGTTCCTCACCTGACTCATTTTATTGATGAGTCAGAGTAAACGTATGACTTATTCTTTTCTAAAAAAAATATATATGTATTTTCATTTATTTTAGAGAAGAAGGGAGAGGGAGAGAGAGATAGAAACATCAATGATGAGAGAGAATCATTGGTTGGCTGCCTCCTGCACGACTCCTACTGGGGATCAAGCCCTGACTGGGAATTGAACCATGACCTCTTGGTTCATAGGTTGACGCGCAACCACTGAGCCATGCTGGCTGGGCTATAACTTACTCTTCAAACAGGAAGTCCTTTAAGAGTTAAAGGGGATGCTGTTAAAAATTATTCCAGCCCTGGCAGGTGTGGCTCAGTTGGTTGGGCATTGTCTAGTGCACTAAAAGGTTGGCCAGTTCAATTCCTGGTCAAGGTATGTGCCCAGGTTGCGAGCTCGATTACCAGTAGGGGTGGCTCTCACATCAGCGTTTCCCTCTCCCCTTTTTTCTCTCTAAAAATTAATTTTAAAAAAGAATAATTATTCCGGTATCAAATGTAAGCTGTGACGAATGTTTCTGCTATTGATGTGGTTACACCTGATGAGGAAACTAATGTCTTGGAGCTAATAAGAGGCAGTGCTTGGGTCAGTGCTCTTGGCCTCTAGGCCGTATAAGAATCAGAACTTTGATGAGCTTTGGGTCTTTTCAATCTCTTCATTAGAACTCATCAGAGCTCATCGTTGTGGCTGTTCTTTCCCGAAGAGAAACATAATTGAAACAATATCACACATTACTCATTAGCTCTTAACTTATTTATATTTTCCTTTTAGTTGGAGGGCAAGAATTTTATTAAATTACTCTTCAATTTACTTATTACTTTATCTAATCTCTTCTAAATCTGGGAGTTGTTCTCCGTCCCAGGATTCTGGGCTCAAAAGAGACATCTAATGAACTTGCCAAAGATAATCACTTGTAGAATCTAGTGAAGAATTGGAAGGCAGAAAAATATAGTGATTAAAAATGGAAGTAGCCTGCCTGAATTTCACACCCTGCAGGCTGTGAGCTTTTACACAGCGTACTCGTTCTCTCCCAGTCTCCCTTTCCTCATCTGTGTAATAGAGGAAATAATAGTAGTACCTACTGCGTAGAGTCATTTTAAGCCCTAGATGAGGCGGGCTCATAATCAGGGCTCAATAATTGGTCTCTATTACTGTTTTTATCTAAGTCTTCAGATTTCCAGTGAAGTGTTTGCAAAATATGTTTCCTTGGAAACACTCTGGCCAAGGCTTTGAGATCTGTCTGAGTGTGTGTCTGAAGTCTGGTAGCAGGATTTCATTGGTGATTATAAGCTACCTATTGCCTATTTGTACATCTAAACATGAAAAAGCCAGGGATCTCCTTGGGCCCACCGCCAAGCATAGACTTCTTAGCCTTCTTATAAACAAGGGAGCAGTAAAGAAAATGCTTTTAAAATTCAACTTTTATTTTAATTAATGTTCTAAATGTACGTAGCTTAAAACAAAAACAACCCCCTCCAAAAGAAAAAACAAAACAAAAAACGACAACAACAAATATACACAGTCCCAAAGGCTTTGAATCAAAGAATCAGTCCCTTCCCCATTCCTCCCAACTCTGATTACTTATTTCCAGAGGCTTCCACTTTCAACCATTTTAGCTTTTTCTTTTTGTATTCTCCTCCATACTTTTATGTGATCTTTTCATACTATTTCTTGATTTATAAAAAAATCAGATATTCTTTTTTTGACATTCTGCTGCAGAGAAGATTCAGCTGTTCTGTATCCCTCTCCCATACCCACATATACTTATACACACATGCATACACTTACCCTTCACTAATACATTTCACTAATGAATATGTATGATTCCTAAATGTTACTCACAGCTAAGCCATGTGGCAAATTATGATTACATTTCCATGATGCTGCCTTTGAGATTGATAGTTAACTCTCTGTTTGCATAATCTTCTATATGTCTATCACTAATGCACCCCCAACCTCACCTTTGGAAGTTTGAAATCTCTTAATACCTTCAAAGTGATTAGGTGCATTCTATGGATCCTGTTGTCATGAATTCAGTTATAAGTAACTGGAATGGAGCAAAGGGAAGGCCAAATGGACACAAGCCCAGGAAAGTCCCAGTGACATAGGGAAGGTACTTGTCTGCCAGTCACATCTGGGAGCAGGTCATTGGCCAGAGTATGTAGGTGGCTGCTGAAAAGCATGGGAAAATTTGAGATATATGATCTCCTAAACAAAGGAGCTCTTTCTCTCTTGCTCTTGGTTCGTACTCCTGGCTGTGGGGCTCTCACATTCTGCATTTGCCCACATGGCCCAGAGCGATGTGGGCCCCACACACAATGGACTGATGGGTTGTCACTAGCTTAATGCTGTACTGGACCCAGCTCCAGAACTGGGTCAATAATACGCCTTGATTTTTAGTGCACTCTCCTCATTGGCCCGTGTTTATGTGTTTTTAAAAAATGTCACACATAAAAAAATGTAAACATGGGTGTTATGTGCAGTACCTAGGAGAAAAATTTAAGTGTATAATTGCCATGTATGCAAGATACCAAAATAAACTCATGACTTTAAAAGTATTTGGTGATACAATTTTATTTTCCCCCTGTTGAATAGAAAGTTAACTCATGGATGGGTGGTTTCACAACTCTCCTCCTCATTCCATCAGAGTCCCCCAGACTGGCCTGGGGTAGCAGATTAGAGAGAGGAGCAGGAAAGGGACCAGGCATATGAGTGCTTTATGCTTCACCTGGGGAGAACTATGTCTCTGCTATTTGCTCATTTCCTGCAGACTGTGCAATGCTGGGTTTGTTTGTATTGCAGGTCTGAGAACCATTGGCGTCATCACCAAACTGGACCTCATGGATGAGGGAACGGATGCCAGGGACATTCTAGAGAATAAGCTGCTGCCTCTTCGCAGGGGTAACGTACCGTGTGCCCCACGGGGATTCCTTGGATGACGAGGCGGAGAAACAATGGGCAGACCTGTGGGAGGCTTGGTTCTAACGCTGCCTCAAGTGTGAGGAATGGGCTTATGGCTAGCTACACTTTTTATGGAATAGACATGATCCAAGGGGACAACTATTCCTTAACAGGAACAAGAAAACAGAAAAAGGGAGGGGTTGGAAGGAAGCGTATAAATATTCAAAGACTGCATAAATATATACTCTTCTAAATCTGCCTTACCTGCTCTATGACAAAACTGCTAAGAAACATACTCTATTAAAAAAAAGTTTTTAAAAATTTATTTGAGAGAAAGGTGAAGGGAGAGAGAGAGAGAGAGAGAGAGAGAGAGAGAGAGAGAGACAGACATTGATAAGAGAGAATCATTGATTGGCTGCCTCCTGCACACCCCTTTATAGGGATTGAGCCCACAACCCAGGCATGTACCCTGACCAGGAATTGAACCTGGAACCTCTTGGTTCATGAAACGCTCAACCACAGAGACACACTGGCTGAGCAGAAACATACTCTATTAAAATGCACAGAGCTTTGCCCTAACCGTTTGGCTCAGTGGATAGAGCATCGGCCTGTAGACAGAAGGGTCCCAGGTTCGATTCCAGTCAAGGGCATGTACCTTGGATGCAGGCACATCCCCAGTAGGGGGTGTGCAAGAGGCAGCTGACTGATGTTTCTTTTTCAGTGATGTTTCTAACTCTCTATCCCTTTCCCTTTCTTTCTATAAAATATCAATACAATATATTTTAACAAATGCACAGAGCTTTTAAAGGCAAAGGACATTATTATGTAAATGCTAAAATATTGCCATTAGCCAAATCAACCAGCCTTTGTTAAACACTGATGTCTCAAGTTCAGTTTTGTAAATGGACCCATTCCTAAGGCCTTAATAATTTTGCCTTTTTTTAAAATATGTTTTTATTGATTTTTTACAGAGAGGAAGAGAGAGGGATAGAGAGTTAGAAACATCGATGAGAGAGAATCATCGATCAGCTGCCTCTTGCACACCTCCTACTGGGGATGTGCCCACAACCAAGGTACATGCCCTTGACCGGAATCGAACCCAGGACCTTTCAGTCCACAGACCGATGCTCTATCCACTGAGCCAAACTGGTTTTGGCTAATTTTGCCTTTCTTATTCAGCCTCTTTGAGAGCCTTGCAATCTTCCCAAAATAAACAACAAAGAGTTCCCCAAACACCATAGGTGTGTGTTCTGTTTCAGGTTACGTGGGGGTGGTGAACAGAAGCCAAAAGGACATTGATGGGAAGAAGGACATCAAGGCCGCCATGCTGGCGGAGAGGAAATTTTTCCTCTCACACCCGGCTTACAGACATATTGCCGACCGGATGGGGACCCCGCACCTACAGAAGGTCCTTAATCAGGTAAAAATAAATGTGCTTTCAAGCAACAAGAACAATTAAGGAAATACGTAAGTGACTATTGGAATTCATGTTTCTTATTTTTATATTCTTTTTTTCTTAACATAAGACATGCAGCTTAAATGATAGGAATTTAAAAAATAAATATTTAGAGCCACATTGTTACTATTCTCTTGAATAGAATCATCCACCTTAATATTATTGAAAGAGCAGTGCACAAAGCAGAAAGACCTATTTATTGAGGAGAGAGAACCAGGAGTACACATTTAAAAAAATATAAATTTTATTGACTTTTTAAAGAGAGGAAGGGAGAGGGATAGAGAGCTAGAAACATTGATGAAAGAGAAACATTGACCAGCTGCCTCTTGCACACCCCCTATTGGGGATGTGCCTGCAACCAATGTACATGCTCTTGACCGGAATCGAACCTGGGACCTTCCAGTCTGCAGACCGATGCTCTATCCACTAAGCCAAACTGGTTTCGGCTACATTTTATATGCAACCTGTTGAAGGCATAAGCCAGTGACCCAGCACCGTTAGGCTGGGGCCTAGAGGTAGAGGTAAGAGGAAGCACCTGTCGGGGCTGCAGAAGAGAGAGGAGGTTCGCAGCTGACAGGTACCTCTGAGCTCCGATGTCAAGCACCCCGCATAGCTCTCCACTCCTTCATTTCCATCACATTGTAAACTTAAGGTTTCTTTGGACAAGGTAAGCGATCTGATCACCCATCATTGCCGGGTGTTGCTAGGCATCCTCACTGGTAGCATTGGCTGCATTTGGACAGGCTACCCCAGATGGCCCCCGCGAGCAACTCAGAGATTTTGAGCATCGCCTCCAGCAGTGGAGGAGAGGGTCTGAGCTGCTCCTGACTACCTGTCTCTACATTCAGTCTCAACTGTGTGTATTATTTCTCTGGTGTTGAGCAATTAGAAAAACAGCGAAGCAAAGCATGGAGGCACGAACAGGCTGACATGCCTCAATGTGGGGTTGGGGGAATGAGAAGAGATAAACCAAAAAACTTAAATACTTATATACATAGCCCATAGACATGGGCAATAGGGCAGTAAAGACCTGGGGAGATGGGTAGGGGCTGGGATGAGGGGCAATAAAGAGAGGGGGAGAAATGAGAGATACCTGCCATATTTTCAACAATAAAAAATGTATTAAAAAAAAGTAAAAGAAAAACAGCGAAGGCCAAATTTTTGTCTCTAAAACTAATCTTCAACCTGTCATATGCGTGTGTGATATTCTGATTTGTTTTGTTTAGCAACTCACCAACCACATTCGGGACACCCTGCCGAACTTCAGGAACAAACTGCAGGCCCAGATGCTCTCCATAGAACACGAAGTTGAGGCCTACAAGAACTTCAAGCCCGAGGACCCCACCAGGAAGACCAAAGCCCTGCTGCAGTGAGCCCCTCTCCCTCCCCTGCTCTGCCCCACAGTTTCTCCCCTTTGCCTCTGCCTCGGGCCATTATCCGTCATGCTATTTACGTCATGCGTAACAGAGGTAGCAGTCAAGTACATAAGGCTTTGTATAGATTATACAGTGAGCCTTGAATCTTTACGTTTTCTTGAAGAATAATTGTTGTCATATATTTAATCAGTTGCTCATCCCCATGTCCAATTTTACTGTTTTTATCATTGCATTCAGTGAATGAGTAATACCAATATGGTAACTCAGCAGGGGTGTTTTAGCTCTTAGAATGAGAAGTGGGCAGGGCTTCTGTTGCAAGTGTCACCTGGACTGTCCACCTTCCCTCGGTGTCACTTGTATTTATCTCCCCCCTCTACCCCAATCATTTTCATATGATGTGTGTATGTGTTTTTTCAGTGGAATGAGAACCAAGGATCTAATAGAAAAGTACATGCACATTGAAATTTCTTATCCTTGTCCTTAATGATTTTAATTAACCCTTTGAATGTGCAAACATGAAAACTGCCAAGTATCTTTTTATTCCTTCACAATCTTCCCATCTTATCCCCGGTTACTAGGTTTATCCCTGTGGGGCCTTGGGATAGGATTGCGGCGTTGTTAGAGAATGACCAGCTCCTTGTGTCTGTTACCCTGACTCCCTCTCCGGGTCCCTCCCAGCCTCATCTGTCCTTTTGTCCCTCTTCTGTAACTTGCCTCAGGGTCCTCTCAACTAGAAGACAACCCCTCAGCCCCACCTCTACCCGATCCACCTGTATTCCAGGACATATGAAGTCCATCTCCAAAGATAATGCTTGCCATCTCTCTTTTTTTCTTTTAAAGATTTTTAGAGAGAATAAGGAAGAGGGGAGGGAAAGGGAAAGAGACACGGTGATGTGAGAGTGAAACATTGATTGGCTGCCTCCAACCCAGGCATGTGTCCTGACCAGGAATCAGATCAGCAACTTTTTGGCCCACGAGATGCTGCCCAACCAACTGAGCCACATCGGTGATGCTCGCTACCTCTTATTGGCTCTTTCTCCCTTTGCAGTCTTGCAATCAAAATATCCTTAATTTGGTTTAAAATGCATAATTGCTTTTTTTTTTCTAAATGCTCAAATTATTTAGGTAGCATTTTATATGCTCATCTTATCTATTTAAAGAGGAAATAAGCCGAAACCGGTTTGGCTCAATGGATAGAGCGTCGGCTTGGGGACTGAAAGGTTCCGGGTTCGATTCTGGTCAAGGGCATGTACCTTGGTTGCGAGCATATCCCCAGTGGGGGGTGTGCAAGAGGCAGCTGATCGATGACTCTCTCTCATCGATGTTTCTAACTATCTCTCTCCCTTCCTCTCTGTACAAAATCAATAAAATATATTTTAATAAAAAAAATAAAGAGGAAATAAAATTTTCTTGAATTCATCTCTTTCCTAGTTCATTTTTTTCCCCTTTTTATTCTTAAGCACCTATAAAAAAATCTTCAAGTTACAGAGAAATGAAAGCTATTTCTGTTTAGGCCCTAGGTCTTCATCTTTTATTTAAAAACTAGAGGCCTGGTGCACGAATTTGTGCACATTGAAAGGAAATTAATTAAAAGAAATATTTTAGAGGCCAGAGAGGTTGGCCGGCTTGGGGAGGGGTCACGGGAGGGCTCCAGAGTATGTCCAGCCTACTTTGCTTAGTCTCCATTAGTCAGACCCCAGCAGCAAGCTAACCTACAGTAGGAGCATCTGCCTCCTGGTGGTCAGTGCACATCATAGCAACTAGTCAAGTGGTCGGACATTTAGCATATTAGGCATATATATATATATATATATATATATATATATATATATATATATATATGTTTTTGCTAATTTCACAGAGGGAGGGAGAGAGAGAGAAACATAAATTATGAGAATCATTGATTGGCTGTCTTCCAATATGCTTCCTATTAGGGGTTGATTCTGCAATCCAGGCACGTGCCCTTTCTGGGAATCGAACCATGACCTCCTGGTTCATAGGTTGAAACTCAACCACTGAGCCACGCTGGTCAGGCTAGGTCATCATCTTAATATCCAACCAAAACTATTGTGAAGACTGGTCTTGCCTCTGGATTCAGATTACAGACTTTTCCACAGTTAGATTTTTCCCTGGTAGATGAGTGATTCAGTTCCTTCCTTTGTCTCCCCACTCTCTCTTCCTTCTTTCTTTCGTTCCTCCCTTTCTCCTCATCTTCCTTCCTCTCATCTCTGTATATTCTGCTTGGCATCTGGATCTGGGGATTTAACAGTGGTTAAGAATTTTGGCCTCAAGAAGAGGCCACAGTAGAGCAGATAAAACAGACATTTAGGAAACTAATCTGATAAATGTGATATCTCTGGTAAGTAAAAATATTAATGGACCCTAGATGAGGAAGTAGAAGTATTTACATGGAGCAAAGGTGTGAGTTCCCAGAGAATATGAATGTGACCCTGAAGGGAGGAATCTGTCAGGTGGGAGAAGGAGGGCGAGGATGGTGTGGGCTTGGGTGTTCCGTATGCTAGCTGCAGTGGCAGGACAGGGAAAGAATGGCAGGACATACATTTTCCTAAAATTTCCCATGGTTATAGCATGTGTCAGACATTTATTATACTCTTCTAGATTAGATTAGCATGAGCATATCGTGGATATAGCTATAGCTACATCTAATTATATTCTAGAGTTTCTGGCTTAATAATTTGCAGTTACTTTCCATTTATCCATGATTTTGATAAAAGAGGCTGCAAGTATTATATGATTTGGATTTTTTTCCCTACCAGATTTTGAATTTGAAAGTAGTTCCAGCATGATAAAGTTAGTGTTTCTAAATCCAGTCATCACCAATGCACATGATCACTTTCTCTGATGCTGGGGGCAGGGAAGAGAGCTGCTAGAGCCATTGGAACACCTGGTGTGATGTAGGAGCTGTGGCTTGTTTGTTCTCTGTAAAGATTTATCGCTTAACTTGAATTCAAGTATTTTAAAATGGCATTCTATGACGGCAATGAGATGGACAGAATGCATTGAATGGCACAGATATTTAGAATACATTTTAATTAAATGTCTAAAATAAATGGGAAAAAAATGTGTATTTCAGATCATTGCATTTTGAGTGTGGAGCAAAGTGCAATGCTAATTCTGCCAGTAGGTGCCACTAAGAACACCAGGAAAAGGTTTCTAGGCTATAACCACAGTAAAATGAAATGAGAAATGCAGAGCCTGGTTACTTCAACTGGAATTAATTTCTCTCTCACAATCGCAGGATGGTTCAGCAATTTGCCGTGGACTTTGAGAAGAGAATTGAGGGCTCAGGGGATCAGGTAGATACCCTGGAGCTCTCAGGGGGTGCGAAGATCAATCGCATCTTCCACGAACGCTTCCCTTTTGAGATAGTAAAGGTTTGTACCAAACGTTGCTTTCCCCCGTTGGTTTCACTTCATTTCCATATTCTGTTCTACATAACTTCATAAAATGTTACGGGGGTGGCATGGGACTAAGGTAGTTCTTCAAACAAAAGCCTTCATAATCAAGTAATGAAATTTAGGAGAGAAATAATTTCTTAGTGATGGCTCCAATTTTATTCAATGTGATTTCAAATTATTTCAACAAATGCTAATTGATTGCTTATGACGTCGATTTATTGTCTAATTAATTTAAACATATTTCTTGCGCACCTATTCTAGGTGCCAGTGATTGGGACAGAGACACTTTCTGGTGGGGAAAATAGACAAAGTTAAAGAGCTCTCAAATATAATCAAGAGAGAGAGACAGAGAGAAAGAGAGAAAGAGAGAGAGAGAGAGGGAGAGAGAGAAAGAGAGAGAGAGAGAGAGAGAGAGAGAGAGAGGGAGGGAGGGAGGGAGGTGGGGGAGCCACTTTTGATGTCACATTCAGGCAAGGTGTCTCTGAGTAGGAGACATTGAAAACATGAGCACAATGGTGTGAAGAGGTCAGCTGTGAAGATGGAAGGAGGGAGCTGGGGGAAAGAGGGTCATTCAAGACAAGTAGCTCAGGACAAGGCCCTGAAGGGAGCACCTGTAGCAGGTAAGGAGCAGATGGGGCTGACCAAGGGAAGTTGTAGGAAATGAATTTCAAGGAAGAAAGTGACCAGTTGGGATGGATTGGTGACTTGGGAAGTAGGGTCCACAGGGCTCGGACTGAATCTGGGGGATGCAGGAAAGAGAACATTCAAGATGACTCGCGAGGTTTCGGCTTGCACAGCTGCGTACGCTGGTGCCATGAGATGAGGAAAACAGGCAAAGCCAAGCTTGTGTGTAAGCGTGAGTCCTGTTCCGGACACGGCGCTCAGCAGTGGTTCAGGGACTAGGCGACTTGCTGCACTATAGAGGCGGGTGCTTATGTCTTGGTGTGGGAGGCAGATGGGTAAACAGAGTGTTTCATTAAAATGTGCTAAGGACAGTGGTAAACTTCAGCCCGGGGTGCTATGGAAACAGCCCACAGACAGGAATCCCTGCCCAGAGCTCAGGGAGCCCGGCCTGAATGCCGAGTCTGGAAGAATGAGCAGCTAGTCAAGCGGGAGGAGGGGAGGGAGGGGAAGAGTTTTCCAGACAGAAGGGGAGGCCTGGTGAAGGCTGAGCTGCGCAGCCACGGGGTGAGGGGAGGGAACAAAGCAGTTCACTGTTGTGTGGCACTGAGTGCGTGGGGAATCGGACAGACGGTGAGGATGGAGAGGCCAGATCTCAGGAGGCAGGCCGAGCCACGTGCTCTCTGGTTGCCCTTCCAAGTCTAAGCTCCATGCTGCTCTGGTTGTATCCCCCACTAATTCCAGGCCCCTAGACCTTCAGGGAAATCTCCATACTGCAATCTGCCCTGTGTTGGATCAGCAAAATATGATGTATTTCCTCTTATGAAGAGGCCTTGAGCTCAGGTGGTTAAAATGGCCAGGGAGGAAAGACAGCCATTGTCCATCTCAGCACAGCCGGACTGCGATTGCACATCCGGTGACACCCTTTATTCATGCATTTGTCTGTGAGGACATCTACATTTAGCAAGAGAATGAAAAATTACAGATTTCAAACGAGTGGCCAGATTTATGCCCAGAAGGCACCCTTGATACACGGCACTCCCACCTAAAACAGAGTTGGAATCTGCTGCACCAGAGGTCAAACTCCCAGAAGCCCCTCATGTTCTCTGTTGCCTTGAACTTTATATAAACAGATGTTTTGGCCATCTGGGTTTACGTTAGGGAAGACATGAGCATCCATTTATTAACAATGAAGCCAAGCTATTCTCATTCTTTAATACATTCAATAGTATTATTACTCAACGGAATTAGGTGTCCTAACTGTGGCTCTTCTTGCATCCGCAGATGGAGTTCAACGAGAAGGAATTGCGAAGAGAAATAAGCTATGCCATCAAAAACATACATGGCATCAGGCAAGTGATCCCCACATTCCCTGCCTTCCGCCCCGGCTACGAGAAGAAGGAGGCTTATAAACCACTAGCGAAGTAGCTTTTCACCATCTGAGCCGAGCAGAACACGGAGCTGGGAGGAAGAAGTAGGAAATCCTGGTTTGGGTTCAATGGTTAATTCCCAGGATCGTCCTTCTCGGTCTTTTTCAATTAGAAAAACAGAAACACGCCTGCACTCGCAGCCCTGCGAGCTCGACCCCGGACCCTTGTTCTCCAGAGCCTGCCTTGCAGGGAGGGAGGCCTGGCGGGCTCATAAGTCATCGTTACTTACCCGGAGACAGGGCAGATTGCTTTTGGCTGGAGTTGTGGAGCCAGATTGGGAAAGATTAATGAAGGTGGTAACTTTTGAGTCGAACCTTGTCTGTTTAGAGGACAAGAATGATTTCAGCTGGCAAAGGGGTGCTGTGCGTATCTGTATCTGTGTCTGTGCGATGTCTCCCTCTGTGCCTGTGCATGTGTGTGTGCATGTGCATGTGTGTGTGCATGTGCATGTGTATGTGTGTGTGTGTGTGCGCGCGTGTGTGTGTGTGTGTGTGTGGATGGGGCCGGGAACAATGCAGTGAGACATGAGAGGATGAATCGTATCGGGACTGCAGAATGAAAGGGCTTGGTGGTGCTAGGTGGAGGTGGTGACCTGCAGCCTGTGTCCACGGAGCGGGAGGTCGCACAGGTCGACTGCAGTTAGGAACGCAGACAGGAGAGCAGAGGAAGCGAGGCTGGGAGTGGCCCTGGTGCCTGAACTTAACCTTGTGTAACGGGGTATTATGTGCATTTACTTTCTTTAAAGAGCTAAGATAGTGGAGAAAGACTCCAAAACACACATTTCTGGGAGTTCATGCCCAGAAGGCTAACCACATAAGGAGCATATGTTAAATTGAGATGTCCTGAAGTCAGGCTGGCTGATAAAACTCAGGTGGCCCACTTCCTGGATTATCCCACAGGCGGGAAGCGCCCCCTGTCTATAGGCAGTGGTATCTCAGCTTTAATAGAGCGTGCTGCGGTCGCCCACGTGCCGGGCGCCCACGTGCCGGGCGCCCACGTGCCGGGCCTGGTCCGGGTTCTTGCAGGTCCTCTCCCTGCTGGCCTGAGTACCTCTGCTGTGGAGCCGGGCCTTGCTCCTTCAGCCGGCGCAGCTAGTGTTTCAACGTGTCTGTCAGGTGACAGGTTTTGGGTCACCAAATATTTTCCCTTCAAACTTCACTTGGTTTTTAAAACTCCTTACGAGTAACATTTTTTTGTGGACTGTCCCTGCCAAAACTCAGCGATTCCGTGTTGTAGGTTTCTGATGTCGGTGCATAGCAGCAGAAGAGATGGGTGGTTGCGATGGCTCTGGAGTTCATTTGCTAGAAGATGGTGCAGCCCCGTGTGTAAGACATCCTAACAGCACGCCTGTCTAGGCCCGAAAGTACACAGATGGGAAGTGATGCTCCCGGTGGATACTGTTAGGTTTTCAAGTAACGGAATCCTCCCTTGCCCCGGAGGACCGGATGGCTCCTGCTCCGTCTGGAAATGCTGAGAACCGGAGCTGAGCAGGCGAGGGAGCCGGTCCTTGTGGACAAACACAGGCAGAGCGATCGTGACACTTGCTGCCCCTGTAGCCGGGGGACTAAGCACGCGCTCCGATCACCGCTGAGAGTCGGATGTGGGGATTCGAGGAGGAGGGCCTGGGCGGCAGGAGGGACGGGCAGGCGCTGCAGGACGTGGCCTTACGATCCGGGCTGTGCAGTGCGGGCGGGTGTGGACGGCTGAGATGGCGGGGATTCTGAAGTGAACGTCGCAGACGAAGGCAGAGACATAAACGAAGAGAGCGAGTGTGTTTGTGGGAAGGCGGGTGGCCCGATGTGGTGGGCACACAGGGTGCCCGGGAGGAAGGAGGGAAATAAAAGGAAGGGTAGGGTCAGAGGGGGACATTTGTTATGTGAGGCTGACCAGTGTGGATTTAGAGGCGTGTGGGCCAGAGAGGTGAGAGAGGAAGGGAAGCGAGTTCAGGAACAGGCACCCAGGGTCCAGGTCCCTCATGGACTCTGTTTAAATATGAAGAATCGCTTTCCATGAAGCACTCACACGGCTGCTTTCCCGGGCTCCTGCGCAGCACAGGGAGAGCATTGTTCCGATTCCAATTTGAATGGACTCCAGCCAAACGAAAAGGGCCCTTGCTATTTTGTTATTGTTTGGTTTTTTTTATTGTGTGTAAACTCGCCATTTCAACATCCTGGGTCCCAGGCTGGTTCTACTTCACTGCTTTCTTTTTTCCTCCCCTTCCCCCTGACATCAGATGGGGACCCACTGCACTTGCTATAGCGAAATTTCTCAGCGGTGTCAACTATTTCAGGGCTCAAAAATGAGGGCCGTTTCCTGCTCCATGGAGGGCAAGAGAGGATTGCTTTTGGAATACTTTAGAAGAGAGAAATGTCCGTTTAGAACCGTTTCCATTGTAGTATTCCTTACTATTGCTGTGAGACTGTGAAATGAGACAGATTAATGAGAAGACCAGATGATATGCCATATAAACACTTTGGGATCTATTTTTAGGTAATGTTAATCATCTATAGAGCAGAATGTATTATGAAATATTAGTATTAAAATTATTACAAATCATACTGTGGCTAGAATAAATCACTCGGTAACCTTTAAACAAGGTACTCATGCTTTCTTTAAGTGGCCTGTCAATCAAAACGAATACTGGGTATTATTACTCATTAAAGAAAAAAGAAATCTAACGTGTGGCTCTCTTTCTCACCCTCAGGACAGGGCTGTTTACTCCAGACATGGCGTTTGAAGCAATAGTCAAAAAGCAAATTGTGAAGCTGAAAGGGCCTTCCTTGAAGAGTGTAGATCTGGTAATGCAAGAATTAATCAACACCGTCAAGAAGTGTACCAAAAAAGTAAGCTTGAGTTACTGACCTTTCCAACATGTTTCTGTTCGGTTTACCCCTCTTTCCTACCCTGCCGCATGCCTCCCTTTGCCCGACTCCCTCCCCTCCTTCATTAGAGAAGGTGGTATGTTTGCTCAAGGGGAAGATTGTGAAAAGTACTGAGTGGGAACTTGATCTCCTGGTAGACGGCATATTGCCTTCTATCATCCATTCCACATAGGTTGGTTAAGCAGGTCAGCATCATGAAGAACAAGGTGAATGCCCTAAACTAATTTACCTTTGGTCTATAGATGAGGGTAATTGTTAGGGTAAGGGAATCATTGATATTGTGTATATCGGCAAGGAAAGTTTCCTAAATTTACATGGATTTCACTTGAACCCGGACATTCTGGGAAGGGGCAGTGCCATCTAAGAGCTTAGCCTTGGGAACCTCGATTCAAATCCTGGCTTCACTTCTGTGTGACCTTGAATCCCTAGAGATTTATCATTTCTCTGAAATGGGGATGATGATAGTAAATATAATACTATCTTCACTCAGATTAAACAAAATGATGCTTGAGAACCACAGTAACTGCTCAGTCAATGGTGGCTAATCTATCAATGGGCATTGCTACCTGTAACATCTGTTGAACCGGGGGACTCCTCACTGAGGAACTTGGCAGAAGTGTGCTGAATTCCATCCGTCCTATGGGGACAGGAAAAGAAGGCCTTGTGCTGGAAAATGTGGGAAGGGGGTTAGTGATGATGTTTGGGGTGGGTGGACCTGGCCCCATTACCATTAACACTGGTACTTTGATCATTTCTTGAAAGAATAGATACTTCTAGTTTGTCAGTTTTGTTGCTTTCCCCTTCCTGTATGGTACTATGAGTAACCTCTCTGGAAATCCAGTGGGGCGCAGGAGAAAGAAAGAGAGAGGCAGATACTGTGAATGAAGATGAATTTTGGTCCTTGGTGACTGGCAGAACAACTCAGATGAAGAAGAGATGTTAAGTGGTGAAAGAGGAAAGCAGGCTGAGGTCTTAGACATTAGTGCAAAAAAAGCAAAGGTGTTTCGTGGCCAGTGTGGAGTCCAGAAAAGGCTCCGGAGCTGCAGACCAGCTCTAGGCCTCTCCAGTTCTTCCACCAGGCTCCTTCCAGCCTAGTCTCTCTTCTCCAAAATAAGCCATAGAAGCAGAGGGATTGAAGAAGGGGAAAACATGCACCTGGGGAAAAAACAGTCTACACCAGCTCTCCATTTGGGAACCTGAAGCCAGTTAATAAATATTCTCCCCGCCCCCTGTTCTTGCCTACCCCTCAAAATGCACAGAGTCTTGTTTCCTGACCAGTTAAAGCTCTCTTCATTGCCCCCCTCTCCACTGACTTAGGGAATTAACCAAGGCTGTGTTCTCCATCAGCCACCCAGCCTGTCTCCCTCAGCACAGAGGTCTTCATCCAAAGGCTGTTCCAGTGCCCAGGCAATGCTGCCCCACCAGCTCAGATGGCCTCTTTCTGAGGGCCCGTTGTGTTGCATTCGTCCTCAAACCTGTTTAGCTAGTTGTGGTTCTTCTATAAACGACGTGGTTTAAAAGAAGAGTAAGTAAAGTGATCAGATGCAGGCAGAAACGAGTTCTGTTCCTCCGAAAACTCAGCTTTGGGAGAAGCGTAGTAAAAGATTAGCTGCATAAGCTTTGCCATCGCTTGGGTCTAGGTGGGACATGGTTAAAAGACGTGAGGGCGTCATAAAAACCTAGATGGGCACTGCGTTCAGTTTCTCCCTCCGCTTTGAAGAAAGCAAACTTGTAGATAACGGATGTGGTTTTGGGAGACGGAAGATGCATAGCTCCCCTCAGTAGATCCACATGCTGGGAACGGCCTTGGCCTTACATCAGAAGGTTGGCACATGTGTGCACATTTATGTTTTGAGTTATAGAAAGTGTTTATGGTATGTATGAATCATTTTTTTAAAAAAAATCATTTCCCCATTGCATCCAATTTACTGGAAAAGCAGCAGTCGGTCCTGATGGCATGGGATGAGACAGCTTGTTCTGGACACTTGGTTTCTGTCCTTCGCTGTCCACCCTTTGAACCGCCCTTTCCATTATGCTCTCTGGATCGGTGGTGATTGTGTATTTGTACTGTCTTCTCAAAATATTTTACAGTTTGCCTTAAATGAAACCTCACTTTCCCCCCGAGATTACTGTTTACCCTACAGCTCTCTTCACTGAAGAGCATTTATTGGCCCAAACCCAAAGGATCTAGGGCCCAGACCATTTGTCATTTGCCTACTTCTTGTGTGGCTTCCAAAGATTGTGCATTAACTTTCCTGTAAAGTCTCTCATCACGTCCTTGGCCTCTGCTTTCTTCCAACCTATCCGTCTCCTCCTGGTTTTATTTTATTTCCTGACCATTGTTATCAGTCTGTGTCCAATCAGAAGTGAGTTGAAACCACAGCATGATTAAAAAATATATATATATTTTTTATTGATTTCAGAGAGGAAAGAAAAGGCAGAGTTAGAAACATTAATGATGAGAGAGAAGCGTTGATTGGCTGCCTCCTGCATGCCCCCTACCGGGGATAGAGCCCACAATGTTGGCTGGTATCGAACTCGGCACCCTTCAGCCGGCAGGCCCGTGTGTTGTCCACTGAGCGAAATCTGCTAGGGCGACCACACCGTGATTTGATAACAAAAACCAAAACCTATCTGCTGCCCTATTCCTCTCCTTTTCTTTGTGGCCAAGCCTTCTTGGGGGGAAAAGTAGTTTATGCTTACTCTCTTTACTCCCTCATCTCCTATTAGTTCCCTAACCCTCTGAAATTTGACTTCCACCCTCCTACCACTCTGCTGAAATAATTATGGCATCATCACCCAGAGGCTGATTGCCAAATCTAATGACATCCTTATCCCTGATACTGTGGTCCACTCTCTTTTTGAAGCTGACCCCTCTTTCTTCCATGGGTTCTCTTCCTTCTCCTTAAAGAGCTCATCCACTGTGGCCTGCCTCTGCACACTGACGTCCTGTGGGACTGGCTCCTGGCTTTCTTCTGTCACTGTCCTTCCTCCTGACAGAGCACATCTCCCACAGCCCAGCTGCCACATAACATATTCTCGATTCCCAAATCTGTATTTGAGCTTGAGCCTCTTTCCTGAGACTGTCTACTCTACAGACTATTGCAACTACTCTCTTAAGATGCCGAGCAGGTTTTTTTTTTTTTTTTTTTTTCTTAAAAAACTAAATTAGTCTATTGGCCTCCTAACTGATCTTTCTACCAGTCTGGCCATCCTCAAACTCATCCTCCCACAGCTGTCAAAGTAGCCCTCTACGATATGGACATCTATTCTCCCGCTGTCTCTGTATTGACTCATTGGCTCCTCATACCTTGAGAGATTGTGCGTAGTTTTGCCCTCTGGTCTCTAAACACTTCTCCAGCCACACTTGTCATGTCTGTTACCTCCAGTCATTCTGTGTGGTTTGCATGCTCTGGAAATGTTTTCATGTCCTTAGCATTTGCACACATGGCTCTCTTTGTTTAGAATGTCTCTTTTCCCTGCCTGTCTTCACTTTTCATTTTTTAAGATCCAGTTCAATCATTGTCTTCTCCCCCCCCCCCCCAAATCTTCCTGTGGGTCATCTGTGAGCCCTTTCCTGGTCCCCATCCTTACTTGCATTTCAGGGCTTCCAATGGTGCCCGGTGTTCACTTCATCATAGCAATAAAGACTGCGTTGTCACTTGCGTGTCATTTCTTTGCTTAGGTGGATGCCTTTTATTGTTGATTATAAGTGCCTTTTATTTATTTTAATTTAAAAAATTTTTTTGTTGAATTTATTGGTGTGACATTGGTTAATGCAATTATATGTTTTAGGCGTGCAATTCTATAAAACATTATCTGTATATTGTATTGTGTATTTACCACCCAAGTCAAGTCTCTTTCCATCATCATTCCCCCCACCTCCCCCCATCTACTCCCACCTCTTGCACTCCACTTTTCCTCTGGTAATCGCCACACTTTGAGTTTGTATGTATGAGTTTTTCTTTTATAAGTACCTTTTTTAAAAAGCTGTATCTTTTATCTTCTTATCCCTGGGACCTATCCTAATTACTAAATGTCCATAAGAGGCCTTCTACAAATACTAACAATTTAGATGTTCAAAGGAGAACCTGCAACTAAAGAAAGCTGTGATTTGTTTTTAAAGAATTTTTTTATAATTCTTTTTAAAATTAAAATTTGGACAGGTTTTCTTTCAAATATCTATTCTTTGCCTTGTTCCTCATTTTGATGTTCTTGTTGTTTGGCCTTATTATGTCTGCCTTCATGTTCTTTTACTTCAGAACTGGTCTTACCAAAATCTTTTGCAAAGCAAAATAATTCCAATTAAAGTTGAGTAGGCCAGGACTTTATTACTTGACCCCTTTGCACATGAGCCACAGAAAGGTTACCATACAATTTATCATCTAACACATTTCAGTCCTGAAATTGAAAGGGGAACTATTAATACTTTCTCTGTAATAATAGGAGTGAACTAAGACTCACCTGGTCAGTTTAACGTATAGTTGCTCTAGCTGAATTGTGACTTTATATGTTAAACAACAGTATTTTCATTTTCAGGTCCTCATGGTGCATGACTTATGTGTAAAAATATTTAATTTCTCTTTCTTAAGCTACGTAAACAAACATCAGGGGAAAACAGGGGAATTATGTGTGTTCAAATAACAAAGCACAGAGCTAGATTCTAACCTGCACTTCCTCTGTGCCGTTCCTCACTGTGGTCTCTGGGAGGATAGGGCAGGAACATTGGAGCTTTATGAGCTGTCTGGCTTCCCTCCAGGAACATCCCCACTTCGGACTTTTCTGGGCATCTGCTTCCAGCTGCTTTTCTTACCTCCTCTCCTCTAGAGCATCATCACAGGGTGCTAAGGTTCTTTTCAGGAAATACAGAGGGGAACATCTTGTTTTTCCAACCAAACTTTAGCAACTGTGCCATTTATTGGCCTCTTGGGAAACCACATTCTTGGATCTCCATCAGACCA